GAAAGAGTTAATAAAACATTGTAAAAATAATTCGCAGTTACGTTAGCACACATCACAAGCGCTGGGATGGCTACACATAATGAATTAGCTTATGCTTTAGAACGGCACATCATGATACTACGGGGAAAACCTCCAGCAGAATTATTTTAGGCAGAAAGTTTAATTACGCCTTTAGATAAATTATTCTTTGTGCAAAAAAAGAAGCAGGAATTCAAACAAAAGGATGTGCAAAACTAATTGATCAGGCGCTTAAAGCTCGGATACGGCAAGAAATAGGCAGAAAATTATTACTATAAAAACGCCGTGAAGCAGATTTTAAAGTTGGGATAAGTATTGAAACGGAAATTTCTTTATCAAGTGCCCCAGACAATTTTATGGCAAAGCTAGCTCCAAGTTTGAAGGTCCCTATGTAATTCAGGAAATCAAAGGGTAGTTTTATATCTTAAAAACGAGAGAGGGGAAATCTGTAAAGCAAGTCCCGACCAGGTGAAAAAACTATATCCCAATGATTTTGAAATCCTTAAAAGTTTCTTGCAACTCAAGTCTAAACGAAATAGAAGGGCCAGAGACTGCAACAACTATTCCACCACCCAAGAAACGGAGAACTGAAGAGAGACCTAGCACTTCTACAACACCGGACGTCGGTATCAAAAGAAAAAATGATTATCAAACTTCGGCGTTTAAGAAAAACAAAAGTACAGATGAACCGGGTAAAGAACCGTGGTAAAAAAAAACACCCACTACAAAGGATGGCAGGAGGAATTACACCATCAAGAAGAACGCGCACACGGCCACAAGTCAGGTGCCAGCAAGGCCGCCGTTCCGGAAACGAAACGCCAACAGGAGCACAGACGTACGAGGAACAGAAGAAATTCAAGGACTCCAGACCGGAGACGTCAAGACCAGCCGTCCCAGGCAGAAACGCACGCAAAGCCAACAACCAGACGATTACTCCGTCAAGAGCCAGCATGTAGAGGACGCAAAGAAAGATCAACGGGGACGACAATTGGAGATCAACAAGGAGAAGATTGACATCCATGACACCTCTAACTTGGGATCATTTTGCCAAAAACGGATGACGGAGTTTTCAAGCATCGAAAACTCAAAGATAAGTTAAAACCTTCTATAAATATTTTTCTCTTTTGTTCCGAAATGTTATGCATAAGTACGAAGTTCTATGTTTTGACGAAAGTCAATATGTCTCGGTGAGACTTAGTTTTGTTTTACTTTATTTAGCTAAGGCAAAAGTATATTTTCTTTAAGTGTAAAAGCTAAAACAGCATTTTTCTGTTGGTCGAAAGACTAATTCTGTTATGTTTAAAGCCAAATTTGGCCGGAGATAAAATAACTTCGTATCTTGTATGTACTAATAAGAATTTTAGTTTCAGTGCCGCCAGCTTGGCGAAGGATGAGTAAAGTAAAAATTTATTTTCTCTTATTCATTTTATGGTAAATTGTAAAAAGCATATGTATTAAATTTTGTAAATGTATGTAAATACTTTCATGTTTATGTAAAAGTAGAATTTAGTCTAGAAGCATAAAATTGTAGATGCTAAAAGTGAATGCTTAAAAGCAATGAAAATTTAAGTATTAAAACTGTAAAGTCATGCTTTAGATCGAAAGCCTGCATGTTTAAAAGATGAATGAGGGGGAAGTTAGAATGAATGTGTTTTGTAGGGTTCTCCACCTACATTTGAATTTTTAAGAATATTAAAGTAGCTCATTGAGTTGTAGAATGTCGAGTAAGGTGTGTCTATTTGGTGTTGAATTCTAACAAATCATGGTGGTTAGGGGAAGTGTTGTAAGACTAAAACACGAATATTCCCGTTTGACACCACACACGGTGGAGAGCCAGGGTAAAGTTAAATTAATGCTTGAAAAATTGAATGAATGTGAAGTAAGCAATAACTAAGAAAACGAAACGTTAAAAACAAAAATTTATTGTGTCAAGAAAGTGTAAATTATAATGTATGTAGAAAGATACTGATACTTATTCCTTCCGATGCTGGAAGGAAAGACCAAGATTGATTGATGAAGTCCAGGAAAAGTTGCTGTAAGAAGAAACCTTTGTAAAGAGTACAGAATTTTAATTGTTACATAAGATTATTTTTGTGTAAACGAGGCTTCGCCAGTTAGTTCAGAATTAGATAAACTTACAACAGGTCGTTTGTAGGACCTGCTTCCAAGTTTTCCAAATTCTGGCAGCGGCAAATGGGTTTATATTTATTTTAACTAACATTTATTTATTTTAGTTTAAACTATCTTCCTGTCAATCCTTACTTTTCCCCTGGAAATGCCAATACCAGAATATGTAAATTTGAGTAGAACGCGCAAGCATTCAAATTATCAGCGGAAGTATGATTTAAATAGAAGGAAACAAGTTCAGTGGAGGGAGAGTTATTCTTACTTAGGGGCGCGGAGTAGTTATAGAGATTTGAAAAACCCCGCGTTGCGGCCTATGTGCTTGGCGGGAAGTAGTTCAATTGTTCCAGGTGAGCTTCAAGTCTGCTGAATTAGCGCCGTATTGTAAACGCGGTGAGTTAGTTGTTTGAGAGAGCCTCGTAGTTAGAATATGTGTCTTTAATTTCTTTCAGGTTTTTATTTTTATTTTGACTGCCGAGTTGGCACCGTTTCTAAGCGTCAAGAGAACGCAATTGTAAATTAGTACGTTGAATAAAAAGGGACTTAAACCCTTTATAAGACTCTGTGGTTTATACAAGCTTTCACAGTCACCTCTTGGTTGCGTGCTAGTTAGAGGCGCGCAACGTTATAAGGTCAAAAACTGAAAATTCGGAAGTTGAATATCTCGGTCAATCGTATGGAAGCCAAATTTTTTATGTTTAGTTTTTCATAAGGAGTATAAAAGTTTTCTGAATATATGTATAGGAACCGATGGAACGTATAAAATGCTAGATTTAGGGATTTTTATAAAACTTATTTCTTTAAATTTAAAAATGCAAAAAACATGAATATTTGTATCATTTAAAACACTTCTGTAACTGGAAGCGCATGTCTTCGACTAACAGATGAGAACGTAAAGGCCAAGTAATGACTTTTGTAGATACAGCGTACACTTTTTATAAAATATACTGCCCGACGCAAAAAATCCAGCACCATAAAGATTCGACCGTATAATTATGCTAATTTTGAGAAACACGTAGCAGGACAAGTCACGCAGATGATGTAAGATGCAAGTTGCTCATGATTATAGGATGAGATAATAGGGAAGGAAACGGCGGACGAACCAACAGTCCCTACTCTCTGCTGCTTAGGGAATCCAGAATTTCGAGAAGTTCGACTCTCCAGAAGACAAGTGTTAATAAAAATCGTAGATAGTTCCGGCAAACGGACGATTTTACGAGAGCTCAGTTTGCAGACTGCGTACGGCTGGTTGGTCAAATCGTTGTATCACTCCCCCCAGGTTGTACACACTGACTTAATATCTTACTATGGTAGGAGCATTCTAGGAGAGCAAAAACACTGGCTTGGCATTTCCAGAACTGCAATGAAGATCGTTTTATACATTTGGATCTAGGGGGATTGGCGAAGCCTTCTAACCTGTGAGAAGAGAGGTAACAACTCTATACTCTTTCAGGCGGTTGGCCCACTAGAGGCTGGCTGGAACCTTTGGTTGAAGAGTGAGGTAATAACTCTGTACTCGGCCTGTTGTGGCTGGCCCACAGTGGACGAGTCCTAGCCTACGTAGTACTGTTTGAAGCTTCTTGACGACCAATCAGATCTTCAAGCATATAAAGTCCGAGAACCGGGAGTGGTAACCCCGCGGACCCAGACCGAGTGGTGGAATTAAATTAAAGGGGTCTAGGACATATAGTGGCACTAATAAGTGGTCGAAGCACGTTCAGAATTATTATTATTATCGTTGCATCGCTGCTGAAGAGCACGTAGATGTATCCACTGCGTATAGAATTTTGTCTAGATGGATCATCGAAGAAACTTTAAATAGCAGAGAAAGTCCAGGTCCACCTAAACGAACAAATCGACACGAAAAAAAAACGGTGGCGGCTCCAGAATCAACTACTGTGGACATTTTCCGTAATGCACAAGAAGCTTTGGATACTTACATATCTGGAAGAACAGTTTCCTGGCGTTTGGTTAAAAGTGGCTCGCACACAAGCCGCCCTACCACCGTTAACGCCAAACCATCAACTCGAAGGACTGCGATGGTATCTTCAACGAGACACTTGGAAATCTGAACGGCACAGTTTGGTATTTAGCGATGACTGTTTTGTTTGCCTGGTGATATTCGCCGTTTAAGAGTCTGGAGGCGTTGGGAAGATAGAGGCAATTCGACTACTACTGCTGAACATCACACCGCTTATCAACGGGCATAATGATGCGAGATGCCATCAGTCCTAATAGCAGGTCACCTCTCCTACGCATCAGAAGCACATTGACGGCACGATGATTCATTGATTAGATGCTGCAGCCTGTTGTACTACCTTACATTTAGCGGCTGCAAACGGGTATTTTCTAGCAGGACCACCCGACACTGCACACGGCATTCGTTATCGGACAAGTTTTACAGCATATTACATTGCTTCCTTGGCCTGGAATGTTCTTTGATCTTTAGCCTGGTCGAGCATATCTGGGAGGAGATTGGTCGTCGTTTGCGTACTCTGCCTCAGCGGTTATCGGAGGACAAACTTTGTAAGAGGTTTCAGAGCATATGAACTTCCATCCAACAAGACACTGTATGCACACTAATTGAATCTGTACTTTGTAAGGTCGCAACTTGCATTGCCGCGACAGGTGGCCATACATCTTACTGATTCTCTGGATATTTCAGCACTGCATAAATTCATCTTTCTATAAATAATATCATTTATTTACATAAACATGCTCTGTCTGTGTATCAGTTCATATCACATTCTAAGCATTTTTTTTTTTTTTTTTTTGTGTGTGTGTGTGTGTGTGTTGCATTTTTTATGTCAGGCAATGTAACAGAATGATACATGGATTTCTCATTTATGTGTTTTTAGGTATTGTTTAGTTAAGACGTTAATGGATGGAAGTTCAAATGGAAGTCAGAGAAATAAAATGGAAATTATCTTTGGTGCATTAATTAGCTTTCATCAGTGAGACAGCTTTATAAGTAATTTCAGAAGGCATAATTTGAGGTAAGTTTCAAACAATATTGCTCTGCGTTTTCTATATAAAATTTCAAAAATTATCAAAAGAGATGCCTGAAAAATAAAATCAGGCACTTTTGGGATCAGAAATTTGGATCAGAAAGTTACAATCCTTAAAATATGGTGACCGGAAAAATGCCCACAGGAAAAAAGCTCACAGGAAAAATGCTCACAGAATAATGCTCACAGGTATAAATGCTCACAGGAAAAAAGCCCACACAGAAATATGCCCACATAGAAAAAAGCTCATATGGAAAAATGCTCGCTTAGAAATATGCTCACACGGAAAAAAGCTCACATGTGTATATGCTCACATGCTGGAAATAAACCCACGGATAAACAAAATACGTAGAAATATCTTTACATTAATTAATCAACAATTAATCTATTTGAACATCGTACACCTACTTGAATTTTTTCAAAGAAAAATTATTTAAATTACCAAACCATATGTGGTATATATATATCAAAAGCTGTATAACTTATGTGTAGATTTAGTTGCTGTATAAGATTAACAAATGGGCCGTTTTGAATTAGGAAGAAGAGAGGAGGAAGGAAGGAAAATGAAACAGAATATACAGCGATAAATTATTACAATTTTAATTGTTAAAAAACAAAATAATAGTAAGTATAAGTTACACAAACATTTAAAAGAATAAGCAAATAGAAATAATTATTTTATTTAAATTACGTAAAATACCTTGTTATATATAAATCATGTATACTTCACATAAACTTATAAGATATTTCTCCCTCCTTCTTAGCATGCTTTCGTGGTGTGGTGGTCTGCACGTTGGGCGCGTATTCTAGAGGTCCGTGGTTCGATTTCCGGCGTTTAAGAGTCTGGAGGCGTTGGGAAGATAGAGGCAATTCGACTACTACTGCTGAACATCACACCGAAGGAACATGAAGGTTTTCCTTATTTTTCACATCTCCTGCTTCCAAAATACCTAATGTCTCTACAGTGGCGTCTGAACTAAAAGGGTGGTAGATGATGATTCTCTACACCCAGAATTTGGCGATTGAATCACCTAAAAACCCCAGTCGCCTTTTAAAAGGGGGATGTATATGAGGTATTTCTCCCGCCTTCCTAAAATGCCTTCGTGGTGTGGTTGTTTGCACGCTGGGGGCGTATTCCAGTGGTCTGTGGTTGGATTCCCAACGAAGGCTTTCTCATTTTTCACATCTCCTGCTTCCAAAATATCTAATGTCTCTACAAACTTACTGAATATTACCTAATATATGTAAATATCTAATTTTTATCATCGATTTCATCATAGTTTCTTACATGATGTAAGTTTTCATATTTTCTTTTACTTCAGTACGCCCTGTATTTGCAATCTTTTTTCAGTCCGTTAAACAAAAACCACATACTAGGATGGCTACAATTAAATAATGAATTTAGTACCTTATGAAAGCTTTCGTAATAATTTGTTGTTTTAGGAGATTTTAGAAGGCTGCTTCATAATGATTCCACACTTCGATTGGAAACTGTGGTCTTCTAGAACTTTTTTGGCTCCAAACTTAAATAACTACATTCAGACATCAATTTCTATAGATACACATCAAAAGTATGCAAAAGCAGAGTAAATAAAAAAAATAAACTATTGACAGTTACAGGGGAAAAAAATGTCGTATAGGGGGGCAGTGGGTATAAAATATTACAGTACATGCAAAATTTTACTGTAGTTTTCATTCTTTTATATACCGCCCCTGAAAAGGTTAATATGAGCATTTGTCCAACAATTTTTTCAAATGATAAAATAATTTTTCTTTAAAAAATTCAATTAGGTGTACGATATTCAAATCGATTACTTATTGATTGATTAATGTAAGGATACTTCTATGTACTTCATTTATTAGTGGGCTTATTTCATTTGAGCATATATCTATGTGAGCTTTTTTCCATGTGAGCATATTTCTGAGCATTTTTCCACGTGAGTATTTTTCTATGTGAGCATATTTCTGTGTGGGCTTTTTTCCTGTGACCATTTATATCTGTGAGCATTATTCCTGTGGGCTTTTTTCCTGTGTGTTTTTTTTCCTAGAACCTTAAAATGCTATTTAATTCATAAAATAAATTAAAAAAACAAAATTATGAAAAGTTAAGCCTTTTAAAATACACTTATTGCCATAAAAATTTGTACACGAAGAAATAATTGTGGGATCGTAACGAAACTTGGTATGAAGGTACATGTTGGGTAGATATGAAAATGATTAGAAATGCAGCGCGATTGCGCTTTGCGTAATGCCTCTAGATGGCATTGAACTTCGTTCTTCTTGGATTATGAAGCAGGTAAGCAGAGCTTGTTTGACTGTACTTAATCTTTTGCTAAGGAAACGCTGAGGTAGACATGCCGTTACGCCGCCATCGAAGTCAATACCAGCAGCTGCCAGAGTTCGAGAGGGGAAGAATCATCGGGATGATGCAAGCTGAGTGGTCAACTCGGCGAGTAGCTCGTCAGGTAGGCCGTTCTGATTTTACTGTGAGGAGGTGTTGGAACTAGTGGACAGAAGAGACGTCATTTGCACGGCGACCAGGCTCAGGACGCCTTCGACAGATTAATCGTCGAGAAGACCGTCACATCATACGACACGCATGCTTAGAGCCAACTGCCTCGTTGACCGCTATCCAGACACAGGCAGCAGCTTCATTACGGGCCCAACTAAAAGAGATTAGGCACCTAGTGAAAAAAACTAGTTCATTCTCTGAAATATACTTAGTGTTCATAAAAATTTTTACTCGGCCTTTATTTTTACAGCCGTTGATCATAGACATATGCTTTGAGTTATAAAAAATATTTTAAATGACGCAAATATTCATGTTTCGGTAATTTTAATTTTTAAAAAATCAGTTTTGTATTAAATTCGAAACTTTTATACGATTTCTGGAGTTCTGTACTTATATAATTAGAAACTTCTTCATTCGCTATTGAAAATAAAATATGAAAAGTTTGACTCCCATACAATGAGACCTGATCCAGATATTTGACTTCAGAATTTACAATTTTTGACGTCATTTAAGGCGGCTGTCTGAAGTTTCTGATCTCTATATGTAGATGGCACCTCAAATCAACCGAAGTGAGAGGAAGGGACTTGTTTGAGTATCACTTGATAACTACCAATCAAAATTTCAGCCATTTTGAACGCGAATTTGTTTCGTTTTACAATTACTTTTGTGAGTTGATGTGATCGTTTTTACAAAAATGAAAAAAAAATGAAGTATAGTGCTGTCATTAGATACCTGTTTTTGAAAGGTAATACGCCTAATAAGATTAAGGAGGAGTTGGACACAGTGTACAGAGACTCTGCACCATCATTTACTACTATGAAATTTTGGGCAACTGAATTTAAACGTGGCCGTACCAGTTTGGATGACAATAAACGTTCAGGAAGGACAAAAACTGCAAGCCACGGATGAAAACTTCGCTAAAATCCACCATATGGTGCTGGACGACCATTGAATCAAGGTTAGAGAGATAGCAGAGACTTTAGCATGTCCAAAGTATGTGTTTGCCGCGTATTGAATCAAGATTTGGATATGCACAAGCTGGTTGCAGTTTGGGTGCCGCGTTTGCTCGCTTTGGACCAAAAACATGAATGTCCGAATGAACATTTGCACTGTTCTGTCGGGGCAATAAATCGGAGTTTTTTTCGATTATTAATCCCTGGAGATGAAACATGGATTCATTATCACATCCCAGAAACAAAAACACAATCGAAACAGTGGACTGCAAAGAGAGAATCGGATCTAAAAATGGCAAAAACTGTTCCTTCTACTAGGAAAGTGACGGCAACAGTTTTCTGGGGCAGCGATGGGGTTGTCTTAATAGATTATCATGAAAAGGGAAAATAGTTACAGGAGCATACTTTGCAACTAGTTACTTCACAAGCTAAAGGCAGAAATTGAGGAAAATTAGCCACATTTGCAAAAGAAAAAAAATTGTTTCACCAAGACATATCTCACACTTCAACGGATGCAAAGGCGAAAATCCATGAATTACGATTTGAACTGCTTGGACACCCGCCTTAGTCGGGATCAAGTGACTTTACTTTTGTTCTCTAAGCTAAAAGAAGCACTTAGAGGACAAAGATTTTCGTCAAAGATTCCACATAATAAATATTTCAGCGGGTTAAAAGGATGGGAGCATCGCTGGAAGAAATGCATAGACAAAGAGACCATGTAAAAAAATAAAAGTAATTTTTGGGGGGGGGAAATATTTTTTCTTTGTTAAGTAGGAAACTTTTCAGACAGTCTACGTAAAGTTTGCCTTGAAGGTTTGATTAATTAATAAATAAATAAAAATAATTCGAGGTTGATTTTTTTCCCTTTCACTGGTATTCAGTAATATTCTTTTATGATCTGTTAGAGTGTGAATTCCTTAATTTATAATTTTACGGTAATTAGCTTGGCCAAAAGCCTTTTCACGCAAATGATTTATTGCAAAAGAATCAAAAAACTTTTTAATGTCTGAAACATATATTATTTACTAAATATTAAATATATGTATTGCATTATATTTTGCTAAATGATATTTAGCATTTTTATTTATAATCATAAATCTCTTATATTTTTTATGTTTTAGATTCATTGCTCACACAACAAGACGCTTCAGCAGTGGACGACGTCAGTAGACCTTTCCCACGATTGTACTTGCGAATTTTGCAAATACTTTTCATATCATATTTCCTCTTATTCTGCTTTTTCGTCAGCAGCTGGAAAATATGCTGAACAATATATGATTTAAGACGTTTACACATACACAGGAGAAAGTATTTGGAGTTTTCGGAATGAGATAAGTTTAGTAAATGTTACAAATTTCCGAATTTGTGTCACTATATGGAGGCATCACAAAAAGTATTTACCATTTTGTTAGATTCCGCACCATTATTAATTTTTTTCCCTTGACCTAATTCTTATTCTTAAAACTAATGTATTTTTCGTTTCAGATGGCAAGCATAAAACGCACGAATTCTGTGATTTCGTCTATGTATCATCCAATAGGTAATTCGAAAATCAAGACAGCCTTGTGCATGTTTGCTGGAGGAGTCATCTTAGTGTGCTTAGGAGTTGGTCTTATAGTAACAACAATCTCCGTGAGACATCCCTCTGCGGCCAATAGCCACGTGGATGAAACTTCTGTCCTTATTAGCGGGCCAACATGCCTCGGCCTTGGCATCATCATATTAGTAATGAGTGGTACGGATATGTGTCGCTATCGAAAAGCCAGAAACAATGTGGAAACAGAACTTAACAGAGTTATCAGCTCCATGAGCAAACCAAGGCCTATATCTTATAAAAATCAACAAACCCAGACTGCTATCAGACCCATAACTAACCCTAAAGTTTCTATCGTTATCAATAAAACGTTATGGCCATCTTAAACCTGTAAAAAACAAAAGGAAAAATTAGGAAATGTATTTACAGAAGCCATTATTATTATATTTCCCTAACTGAGAATAGCGTGTAGGTCTCCGTTAGTACACTTACAAATCTTGATCTGTATTCAAGGCGGAGGGAGTTAAATTCAGGAAATTCCCCAAGAATTGGTGACTGTAAGTTAGTCCTGCTATCTGAAATCGATGATTTGAAAACGGATGAAACATTAATCATAACTTCAAAATTCATGCAACGGAAAGCAATAAACTCATTGGAAGAAAAATGTTATATATACATACAGTTGTACCTAGACATACGAGTTTAATTCGTTTTGTAACCTTGCTCGTATGTCAAATTGCTCGTATCTCAAAGCAATTTTCCCCATTGATATTAATTGAAATGCCATTAATAATCCGTTCCAGCTCCCAAAACACCACCTCAGTTGTTTTTGTTAAGTTTTTTCGAATAAGAAAATGTATTTACAAGATGAAAGATTTATTTATAAATAATAAATACATATTCTATAAAAACATAATTAAAAGAAAAAGTGAAGCGCTTAACTTTCGTCACTGGTCTTCGCTTTTTTCGTCACGCTTTGCTCATTTTCACCTGCAGATCGTTAGAAAAAACTGTCCAAGGAGGTTTGTTTCTTCCTCCCTTTCAGGATATTGCGGAAATGAGTTACGCAAGTTTCGTTGAACAACTCCGGTGCGCGACCAGTTGGGACTTTTTCGGGGGGATTTTTATTCACGAACTCAACAACTTTCTCCCACATTCCCAAGATCTCCTTTATATCTCTTGTAGGGATAACCTCCTCCATCTCTGGCTCCTCTTCAAAACTAATTTTTCGTTGAACCACTGTATGCTGCTGCGAATGTAGATCGTGTAACTGAGAAGGGAGAAACTGTTAGACGCTGCACATGACATCAACCTGCGCGCGCATGTTGCGGTCGTGTGCAGCGGTGTAGTGTGAGATTCCTCGTATCTCAAATCTTGCTCTCATCTCACAGCAAAATATCGCTCGGTCGGCGGCTCGTATCTCAAAACACTCGTATATCGAGGTACCACTGTATATACATAAAGAAGCTTAATAAGAGGCAAAAATTAAAAGCAACTTTTTTAAACGCGTCCTAGTCCTAGTACGCGTCTGCTGTAGCTGCAAAATTGAAGTAAAATAAACTTAAAGCATCTAAATTTAAAAGTAAATTGGAGTCAAAGCAAGGCAATTCCTCAACAATATTAATAATTGCATCCTTGTAAAGGGGTTAAACAATAGAAATAAACAATTCAAAATAAAAATGATCATACTAGTACAATGTCGAAAACTAAAAATGGAAAAAGGGAACATATATACAAGATAATATAAAAATATAAAAATTATTCTTCCTTTACTGAAACTCCAATTCAGAACTCATCAGGGGAAAATGAATTAAAGCTTCATAAAAGTTGATTAATAAGCTTCGAAAACGTGTTTCGTTCTCCCGGTAAATTTGAGATCAAAAATCGAAAAAAGAAACAAATTTACATTATATAAAAATTTATATAAAACCGAAAAAGTGAATCACAAGTGTGCCAGGATTTTCCCTACACAACTTCGAAACACTTGGAAAAAAGAATAAAACATAATATTGTTTCAAATTGACTACCAAAAAAAAAAAAACTTTTACATATTGTAAAATGATTATTCGAAAAATACCAAATTGGTCTAATAACATTATATGCAAGTCCAAAATTCAAAATCAAATATAAAGATAGATCGCAATATAAATATACTTTAAACCAAATAGTCATTTAAACAATACTCTAAAAATGAACGGTTCCCGATTTTGCTTAACTAAACTTTTAACGAATAACGGAAACAACAGCAACACCGGGAAATCTTTCACCATTTAGTTAGCTGATCAGTCTTTCAGAGAACCAAGGAAAAAACTTCGCCAGAAAACTGGCTCGTCAGTCTTTGGTGCCTCTTACAGGGAATCAAAAAAACAACATTGCCGGAAATATTTCACCATTTTAATTGGTTCATGAGTCTTTAATGTCTTTTTCAGAAAAACAAAGAAGCAATGTTGCCAAAAAACTGTTACCATTTCAGCTAGTTCATCAGTCTTTAATCTATATTTAAAAGAAACATAAAGTCCATATAGTTTTGGCTTTTAACCTTAGCTTTGTATTTAATCCTCACAAAATTAACTCCATAAGTGTTTTCCTCATTTGAAAATGGCCCTAACTTATGCGGTATTTTTAATCTGCGCGTAGGAGATCCGTGGCTTCGTTTTGGCTGAAGATATTCAACTGCGAAATAATGAAAGACACAATTATATATGCTACTATACAGTGGTGGCCAAAATTGTGGACACTTTTGGAAATTTTTATGTTTTTGAACTTTGTATGCTTACAGAAAACGTTACGTTTCACAAAATGCAAACTTGTATATATCATTTTAAAGAGAATTTATTACTGAATTCAATACAAAACACAAAATTCAATTATTTGCAATACAAAAAAAAAGTTAAACGATAATAGTTATCGATATACATTAGATAGTGATGATTGCAGTGAGTTATCAGTACTTAGTAGGGTACCCTTTATTTTTGATTACAGCTTCACATCGACGTTTCATTGAGCTGACAAGAGTTTTAAGCTCTTCTATCGTTATTACATGATGCCAGGAAACAATTATAGCCTCAATTAGTTCCCTTTTATTTGATGGGCGCCTCATTCAGACAAGAGTTTTCAAACGGTGCCACAAATTTTAGATAGGATTGAGGTCAGGACTGTTTCCTGGCCATGACAACGATTTAATGCTCTTTGTACAAAACCCCTCTTTCGATATTTTGGCCGTGTGGCAAGGAGCAGAATCCTGCTGAAAAATAAACGAAGCATTGTTGGGAAAGATATCTCTGATGGAAGGTAGAAGTTTTGGTTCTAGAATAGTGTCAATGCATTTTCTGGCATTCAGTGTTCCATCGATGACATGAAGGCGACCAATACCATATGCTGACATGAATGACCAAATCATAACACTAACTGGGTTCTTCACAGTTGCTTGAATGCAGTCAGGATGTAGCTCTTCTCCTATTCTACGTCTTATATATTTTCGCCCATCACTACCGAATAACGATATCTTAGTTTCATCACTCCATATAACTTGTAACCACTGATCATCTGTCCAATTAATGTGAACCTTTGCCCACTGTAGTCTTTTTTTTTTCAGTGCTGAAAATTAAGATAAGGCTTTTTTCGTGGAATTCTACCTCTCAGTCCAACATCTTTTAATCTTCTCCTGATTGTTCTTGAACTGACAGAAACACCAGCATCATTCAGATCACTTCTGATGGCCGCTGATGACATTTTTCTATCTTGAAGACATAGTCTTTTTATTCTTCTGTCATCAATAGATGTGGTGCACCTTTTCCTTCTTTGTTTTTTTATTGAATTTGTCTGCTGATATCGTAAACAAAACTTTCGGACTCCAGATGTAGTCACTGAACCACCCCCTGTCTTGCAATTTCAGCATAGGAAAGACCACTTTCTCGTAACACAATAATATTACATCTCTTTCTAGGTGTCCAATCTACTCTTTCATTTGATGCCATTGCTTCTTGACTAAATGTTAAAAATTTTTACAAAAATTTCTACTTGTATTTACAGTGTATAAGAAACAGGTCCTCCTTCTACAGAACAAAGCAAAATAATGAATTGTTTCAAGTGTAAACATATGTCAGCTTCTACTGGCAGTTACTAACATATTGGCCAGGAAAGCTAGACATTACAAACCACTTCATAACTGTGTTTTTTTATTTATATTAAAGTACATATAACTTTTTTGTATTGCAAATAATTGAATTTTGTGTTTTATATTGAATTCAGTAATAAATTCCCTTTAAAATGATATATACAAGTTTGCATTTTGCGAAACGTAACATTTTCTATAAGCATACAAAGTTCAAAAACATAAAAATTTCCAAAAGTGTCCACAATTTCGACCACCACTGTACATTTTTAGAAATATGAATACAGTTATAAACTTATTTCTACATTCATTTCATTTCTTAAAAATTATATTTTAAGTGGTATTTGAATGTAAAAAAAATGTCCTTGTTAAATATTTTACAAGTTAGCTTTAAAAACAATCATATGCAGTCCTATTTTGTAAAATCTTATTCATATATACACTGCATATATACATTTATAACTGAGATAAATCTTTATTTTCTCGTGTCTCAAAACAGTATACCTTTGACACATCGTATAACCTTTGAATGTAATAAAATATGACATCCTATTCCTCATAGAAAATAAACGAAATAAGATAATGAAATTTTCAGCTTTGCTCTTGATGCAAAAATATACGCAAAACCCGTTTTTAATCTCTTAAAATTAAATTTCTCTTAAAAAAAGGAGAGAGAGAGACTATTTTTAAAATGAATGTTCAACAATTTTGTAAAAATTGTACATATTTTATACAACTAAAATGTACAGATTATTGAATATAATATATAATGTACCAATGATTTCATTCATAAAACAGTGTTATATATGCAATTCTATGTACAAAAATGAATTAATAAAATAACTTTATTATTGCTATAGAAATTCAATCTTCTATTTCATGCTCAAGTTTTAATACCAGCGATATAGAGAATTTTCATGCATAGTTTTCATACATAGTACCTAAGATAGTACTCCAGCTATCCTAGCGCCTAAATTCGGAATCCATTTATCTGGACCGCCTGTTCTTTCTAAGTAAATTAAAATTAAGTTTTTTTTTAATTATTCACGAGTTTAATTTTTTATTTAAACTAAGTAATCAGATAATACAAGACATTTCGTAATTTTAAAAAACGCAGATGAATATCTGCTAGTTGAAGCATTTGTCCTTCCTAGTAATCAACTTTTAATATAAGACACAATTTAGTGTGTTAGATTCGTACGTTCATAAGAGACACATATAGGATTTATTTAACTAAACAAACACGAAAACAAATTACATGACACGTACTGTATTGGATATTCACCTTCTTAACTGGATTCGAACATTTCATTTAACATTTGCAAGTTTACTCAATCTTGCACTCTGCAATACTATGTAAACCTCTATCTTGAGTTCGTGGTTGTCAATCAATCGCGTCAGAATCATCTATTAAATGCACCTAGCCTCTTCGGTTTGCGGCAATTCACAACATCGGAACCAGCCTAAAATATTCGCAAGTGTATAACCTAAAATTATAAGCATTTTTATATAATAATACAATTTCATTTTTTTCGTCTTAGCCCTAAAAAGGGCTTCTAAAATTATCTAAACAAATGGTGAGGTTTTTGTTAGTTCATTCTTCAAGGAAGAACTTTATATCCTGTGAATAAATTGCAATAGCAATTTTAAATGCCTTGAAGGTTCTCAAACAGAAGTCTGGCATTTATGGCTTTTAAATAGACGACACTTGAAAGTAGAATATACAAGTCTGCTTTCTTACTGAAAATTAACTGATATAGCCCTATACCTGCAGCTATCTGAAGTTTGAGGCGCCTCGTGAGAGAAATATGAAATATGAAACTCTGGAAGAAAAGCATTGTAATTCTTAAGTATTTTTAGTTAAAGAATTCGTAGACTAGCATTTACAATATTGCCTACATTTCAAAAGTTTTGCAAGTTAGTATAAGTCAAGATATAGCCCATCAAGTTTTTCCATATTTATCGTACTTTTAAAAAGAAGCTGTGTTACTTCAATGTATACCTGTATTTGAAATAGAGCCCAAGGCTAGTTCTGAACTTTGTCATGAGATGCTCTCTATTGAAAGAATGAACTGTTCTCTATCTTCTGCATCAGGGGTGGCCAACTTTTTTGTATATAAGGTCTACTTATGACTAGCTCTTAACTTTTTCATGAGACCATGGCTAGCTCTTAACTTTGTCATGAGATGCTCTCTATTGAAAGAATAAGAAAGAATGAACTTTTCTCTAGCTTCTGCATCAGGGGTGGTCAACGTTTTTGTGTATAAGGTCTACTTTTTATCTTAAAAGTATGTCGCGATCGACTTTTTGTCATAGGTGTAGTCTAAGGGGAGAGAAGGGTGTAAAATACATATAATGTTTAAACACTGTGTTTCAGTATAATGTGCATTCCAGTGAGGTATGGGTCGATAAGTAAAATATATATTCAAAACTAGTTTTTATTTTTTAAATCCCTTATTAAGTTTTCGAGGTATAGGTTCATGAAGAAAATTAATTTCCATACCCAACTTTTAATAGCAGCATTCCATACACGCGGTACCTAAAAAATTCGATTTTTCTACACTTTTTCAAGATAGATTTTTACTAAATTAAAATGCAATTTCTTTTTTTTAATCTACTGCCATGTATAAGTTGTTGTACTATTTGTTTGTTAATATGAAAAA